AATATTTTTATTTCGTCCCAAAATTTTTCCATCATCTTGATTCTTTTTCAAATTCGAATATTGAATTTCTCTTTTCTTTCGATGATTCTTATCTTTAGACCCCACTGGTCTTCCTCGTTTCAATCGTGCCTTTAATTCATTGGGCACATCGTCATTTGCCATTTCTTTTGTAATTTCAATTCGAGCAGGGGCATTTATAGCTGCAACATGTGATTTTGTCACCCTTTTTGTGTCAGTAAATGCATCTGACAATTGATTTGCAATATTTTGCAGATGTATGATCTTTTGAACTTCTTGCTCTCTTTGTTTGGTGGGAGGATCAAGATATAATAGTGATGATGTTCTCCATTCAATATTTCTTTCAATTGACTTTTCATTCCCACCTAAAGGGGGAAATAATTCTTCATTAAAATGACAATCATCAAACCGAGCTGTAAAAACATCACCTGTCTTTGGCTCAAGATATTTTATTATTGATGGAGATTCATATCCAACATATATTCCCAACCTTCTTTGAGGCCCCATTTTCGTACGTTGGGGCGGAGCAATTGGTACATACACTGCACAACCAAAAATTCTTATATGTGCAATATTTGGTTCTCGACCAGATGCTAACTGTAATGGCAAGTATGTATGATGTGCACTTGGCCTTATGCGAATTAGATTATCTGCATGCAGAATAGCATGTCCCCATACTGAAATGGGCAGTTTTGTTCTCATTATCAATGGTCTGGCTATAAGCTGCAGTCGTTTAATCAATGATTCTGCTAGACCATTTTGAGTGTGAACATGTGCTACAGGATGTTCAACATCAATTCCCACTGCCATACAATAATCATTAAATGCTTGAGATGTAAATTCTCCAGCATTGTCCAGTCTGACCCTTTTGATAATATAATCTGGGAATTGAGCCCTTAATTTGATAAATTGGGCAAACAATTTAGCAAATGCCACATTTCTACTGGATAACAAACTCACGTGAGACCATCTACTAGAAGCATCAATTAACACCATAAAATATCTGAATGGACCACAAGGTGGATGAATAGGTCCACATATATCACCATGAATTCTTTCTAAAAATAATGGTGATTCATGCCCGACTTTAGTATGTGATAGTCTTATTATTAATTTCCCTTGAGAACATGATGCACATGTCAATTCATGTGTTTGGAGTATCCTCTGATTTCTTAATGGATGCCCACTAGAATTTTCAATAATTCTTCGCATCATTATTGAGCCAGGATGACCAAGTCGATCATGCCAAAGTTTAAACATTTCATTCGCTGGTGACTTTGTTGCAGCATAAGTCTCAATAATATGAATGCGGGTGTAATATAAGCCCGAGGATAAAGTTGGCAATTTCTCCAAAACACATTTATTTCCCGCAACATTTGAGATAATGCAAAGATATTCAACTCCCCCTTCATTCATTGTTTCAACATGGTATCCGTTCATTCGGATATCTTTAAAACTCAACAAGTTTCTTGTTGATTTCGGGGAGAATAATGTATCATTCAATGTAAACTTTGTTCCTCCCATCATAAAAAATATGACTTTTCCAGAACCCTCAATTATCTTTGCATTTCCAGATATTGTGTTTACTTTTGCTTTATTTAATTTTAAGTTGACAAAATATTTTCTGTCCTTGAGTATAGTATGAGTTGTGGCACAATCTGCAAGACATATATCTCCATTTTGAATTCGAGACCGATCCATGATCTAAAAGAAAACAACATTATTATTGATCAAATTTGAAATACAGATACAACTAGTACAAATACGCAAATACAACAAAACTTAGAAAGTAATAAAAGAAACAAGATAATCAGTTGTTCACTTGGTCATTTCCAGCTCTTTCTTCAAATACCGTATCAGCAAAATCCAGGTTCAACATGTCATCGATGCCATAGTCATCATCTACACGTGTTGTATTATTTTCAGAGGATTCCCCAACTATAAAATTAGTTTCTACATTTTTATCTTTTGATTTCTGGGAATCATTATATTTATCAACAACGTGTTTCGGAGCACGACAGTTTCGTGCCCAATGTCCCGTCTTTCCACATCGATAACATGCATTTTCGTTATTATTCTCCGTCACATTATTTTGTTCAAATTTTGGCTGGAAATTTCTCCCCCTTTCAAAATTTTGGACATAGCCACGGCCTCGTCCACGATAATTCCCTCGGCCTGAGTTGTACCCTCTGTGAAATTTGAAGCCTTGGTCAAATCGGCGATCTGGGCCATATCCACGGCCACGGCCACGTCCACGTCCACGACCCCGGCCACGTCCCGAGGTATTTCCACGCACATATGTCTGGCTGTTTTCAGTTCTGGTTCCCTGTTTAGATATTACAACATTTATTTCAGGGACCACAGTAGACCCCGTGGGTCTAGATTCATGATTTTTCATCAACAACTCGTTATTTTGTTCAGCCAACAGCAAACAAGAAATCATCTCAGAATATTTTACAAAGCCTTTTGCTCTGTATTGTTGCTGTAATAGTACATTTGAAGCGTGGAACGTGGACAACGTTTTTTCCAGCATATCATAATCAGTTATGTTTTCTCCGCATAATTTCAATACCGAACAAATGCGGAACATGGCCGAATTGTACTCGTTAACAGTTTTGAAATCTTGGAAGCGTAAATGCATCTATCCGTAACGAGCCCGGGGGAGAATCACCGTTTTCTGGTGATCATACCTTTCTTTCAAGGCTTTCCATAGATCCGCATGATCTTTAACAGTTAAATATTCATTTTTCAAAGCCTCATTCAAATGATGCCTCAGAAATATCATTGCTTTAGCTTTATCCTGTATTGATGAATCATTTGGGGATATTATTGTTTTTTCCAATCCCCTTGACGCCAAATGAATTTCGGCATCCAATGTTCATGAGATATAATTTTTCCCAGAGATATCGAGAGCTTCGAATTCGAGTTTGACCAGATTTGCCATGATAACTATAAAATAAAACATCAATGCTGAAGTTCGAAAAAATTACATATACAATCATAAATTTTTCAAGACGTACACAAGAGCAAATACTAAACACATTATACAAAGACCTAATACATAAAATTTAAATCCAACAGTACGATACATCATTTTGAAAATTAGGAAAACATATATAATAAACAAGATAATGGTAATTATAAGTAATGGATCAAACATTTTTTTTTTCTTAAAACAATATATTCTAAGTGTTTGTATTATGAAAATGAATTATAGTGTTATATATAGATATTGGTAAATAGCCGTTGCAATATAGCCGTTAAGTAGCCGTTGGAACCAAATTTAATGATATAATATTTGCTAATTAATCATTTATGAT